CACCCAGCATCTGCTGGCGCCAAAGCACCCAATCGTGATGAGTTAGGTCCCTTGGTCATGGCATCCGACGTGCCACCAGAGGGAGTTTTCACCCTGCTTTTGCCTAACACGATTATCGGATTCAATATCCAGGAAAAGAAATGGGGTATGTAACATCAGATCCACTGATCACTTCCCGTTTGCTAATATTATTCGTTAGTCGATCTCGAAGTCAGTCGCATGTATGCGGTTAAATGGAACAAAGATGCATTTGAAACATTGGCCGGAGACAACGACATGAAGATTCTCATTACAGCTTTAGTCGCAAATCAAATCAAAGATGAACAGAGTCCTAGCCTCGTTGGCAGGAAGGGAACGGGCTCAGTCATACTATTACATGGGTAAGTAATCTATAACCCAGATCTTCTGAATCTAATCTAACAAAACATCAATAGCTCTTCTGGAACCGGCAAAACCATGACAGCGGAAAGTGTAGCTGAAGTAGTCGAGAAACCACTCTACATAGCCCCATGTAGCGAAATAGCGACCACTCCAGAAGCCCTACAAAGATCACTCCAACAGATCTTTTATCTCGGAAGAGTTTGGAAATGCGTCATACTCCTCGAAGAAGCCGAGCTGTTCGTTGAAAAACGAACCTTAGGAGACCTTCGTCGCAACGCTTTAGTTTCCGTATTTTTACGGGCACTTGAATCGTACAACGGAATTGTTATTTTGACGAGTTCTTCCATTTCTACGGTGGACGAGGCGCTCAAATCACGCATTCAGCTTTCCCTTCGCTATGCTCCTCTGACTTTGAGCCAACGAACTAAGATATGGGAGTCCCATATAACACAGCTTGAATCATTGGAATCTCTCTTCAACCCTTCCACAATCAACATCACTGAGCTTCGCGCAAACATATCAACGCTAGCTAAGTACAAGCTCAACGGCCATGCAATCGGCCATGCCGTCCGAACAGCCCGACAACTAGCTTTATGGAAGGGTATCCCGATGGGATTCGAAGAATTACAGTACGCAGTCAACGATGCAGGAGGATACGACGATTCAGACGAAGAAGACAAGAGAAACGCAGGAGAAGCAATGAAAGGGGTTGTGGAGGATGCAGATGATGATCCTTTTGATGGCGTGGAGGATTTAATGAGTGTTGCTGGGTTATGATTGATGATTGATGAGTTATGACTTATGATTTATGTATAATTCGCGGTAGCGAGCGTCTGTTTTGTACAGAAATGTCTTTCTTTTTGACTTGCATGTATGAGCGTTGCATTCGTATTCACGTTTGCATCGAAGTTGTGGGAGGGTTTGTTCTGTTGTTTTTTCTGCGTATACCATTCTTGCTTGATAATTGTTGATGAGTAGGATAGTGGAATATATATGTCATGTTGTCGCTCTTATCCTCTTCGCTCGTTACATTCAGATAAGCGAATTTTATTTGACCTTTCCTGAATTTAGGTATACAGAACCTCTTCCTTTCCGCCCCTAATAGTTACAAGTAAACGACACCTATGCAGCCCAAGATTTTGTAAAGCAAAGTGGGAGAGGAATTCTCTATCAGGACGCTATATGTGAGAAAGGCATGTGTGGTTTAAATTATACATCAAGATGATAGGTTTTGATATCATACTCTTTTCCTTTTTAAATACCAGATCTGATCACTCATTTCCACTTCTTAGTTAGATTCAAACATTTCCCGACCCATGTTATCCTAGTAAGAAGTGATTTCTCCTCTTCCACTCTTTCAAGTACGCGTCATCAAGTGTTTTCCCACTCCGTACCCCAGGAAATGAGAGGCGACGACAAGTAGAAAACCAAAGATGATTATGCATACGCATCTACACTAGTGCTGCAATAAAATCAAGTAACAATAACAGACAGTAAACTAAAATCATTCACATGGCCATATCTCGAAATATAATCAGTTGATACCTCGGGTGCAAATTGTAATTACCGACGATCGCAATACAAAACAAGGCTATATCCTACTATTAATGCGCAAATCTGAAATCTAATCTTGAACTCCCAGTTAATTTCGTATTCCTCTTGTAATCCTGCTGTTCCTCAGTCGTCATGGCATTCCACACCTTATCTCTCTGCTTATTCCTCATTATATAGTAAAATTTCGTAAATAAGAACACTGCAATGGCCGCAATATTTATAATGATCAATTGCGTATTACCACGATGGTATAACGGCTTATCATCAGTTCTGTAAATAAAGTTTGCGCAGATATTTCCCAGTTGCACTGCCATGTTGTACAGAGCAGAGGAGACAGAGCGAGTGCCAACATTGTTAGAGTTTTTGGAAGTCCATGCTACGAGAATGGCGTGGCAATAAGGATATGAGAGAAGCACTGTGACTAGTGCGTATGTGTTCCAAGCCTGGACACCTGAACCTGGCCAAAAGCGAAGCGCGATGATACATGGGAGGGTCCATAGCGGTTGTATCATGGAGACCAGAGTTCTTTCGTTGACACGCTCAGATAGTTGTGTGATGAGAAGTAGCGTGATAATGTGGAAGGCTGAATAAGGAATTGTCAATAAGTTGGTGTTGAATGTGCTGAAACCCAGGTTCTTCAGGGTGAGAGTAATGTAGGAAGTAGGTGGGGATTGAGGAATATATGCGATCAATCCAATAGCATACAGTGGCCAAAGGTCGAAATCCTTTGCTGCGTTCCAGAGTTTCTTTGGTGTAATTGCTTGTCGGTTGTGCATATCGCCCTTTGAAGGGTCATCTCGGAGAACTCGATTGACGACGATGGATATCTCACGATCAGTAAACCAGCCTTTTGGACGAAACCATGTTTTCGTTTGGACTGCAGACGCTGGCATCATGAAGAAAGAAGCAAGGCCAACTAGCAAAGTGATCAAGCCCTCAATTAGGAACAGCCAACGCCATCCTGCCCATCCCGATACACCCCGTAGATGAAGTAGAGCAAAAGCAAGAATCGATGTGATGATAGTGGTTCCGGAGAGTGTAGTCCAGAAGAAACTGAGTCGGACAGGAAGTTCCTTGGATGTATAAAAGTATGATAGCCACAAAACGATATCTGGGATAAACCCGCCCTATCAATTGGTGAGTTTAGAACTGTCAAGCTCAGAGTTGACGACGAGACCTACCTCAAGAAGACCCAACATACTTCGTGTGGCATAGAATCCAGATTTTCCTTTGAGCGCACACTGGGACATAGCAACTACCGACCAGAGAGTTATCTGCATCGGAATCCATCTATCGGGTCCAATCTTTTTGGAAATCAATTGTGAAGGTAACTCGGCTAGTAAGAACGAGAACAAAAAGATTTGGTTGCCAAAGTTGTAATCTAGGTAACGTTAATCTCAGAGCACTTTCCATAGAAGGGAGTTTCAATTAACGTACCATTTGTACTCAACTTCAGGTCATCCAACAAATTGTCTGCAACAGCTTGTGTTAAGTTTCCGCGATCGACTTGCAAGCCGAAGAACATTATACACTGGAATGTTGTCAACAGTGATCCAAAAGATTCGAGATCTCAAACTTACAGCCCAGAGACAAACTCGCCAATCTAGCCGTCGAACCAGTCGCCGTTCTTCCTCTTCCGTCCAAGTGAAATCGGGGTCAAAGGCATGCCGGCATTCATATTGCGATTTTTCGTAAACCCCAGTCCAGTGTTCCCTTACATCAGGGTCTAAAAAAGGATTTTTGGCAAAAATAGATCCATCTTCATCTGAGTCGGAGTCTGTAGAAACAAATGTTGCATTCTTTACAGGAACTGGGTCGCCAAAAGTTGTTACTTCCTCGTACTGAAGCGAGTCATCTGGTTGTCGCGCGGCACCACTCTTAGGCTCCGTCTTGTCAGTGGCATCTTTAGACATCTTCGAATATATGCGACTTTGATCTCTCACTTGATCGGTATTGGGATGTAGAAAACTAGATACTTATACCACGCGATGATTTAAAGATATGCTCATGCTAATATATCAGCTATATTGTGATTGGTACGAAAGGCCAAGAGACACTGCAGGTTTGCGGGACTACCGAGGGCAGACATTTATTGAGAAAGATCCACTGGAAATCACACAATAAAAGTCTCTCGGAGTAACATCGCAGTCGAACCTTTGTGGCAAAGACAATGCAGCGACATTATCCATAATCACGGATCGAGACCTACCTTTCCTTCGTAAGAGTTTCCCCGAGAAATGAAAATAGTTAAAGCTGACGAAGTTTTTAGGTCTTGGTACCAGATAAGCCCATGACATGCTTTTGGATGGCGCATATATTATGCTAATGCATTGAATCTTTTCACTCTCAAACGCATGCTGCGTAGAGATCATGAAATTCTCGGACGCCACCATAAGAGAGTATATTCCGGAGCATGCTCTAAAGTAGTCATAGAAGCCCTTGAGAGAAAGACTTCATAGTTAATATTCGATGAGAGAATCTCTAGCGCACTTGTCGCCATAAAAGCCCGACCCAATAGTTTACCCATTTATCGACGAAGGAAGCACAAGGCACAAGCATTGGCTACAAGCACGAAACTCTTATCAGTACTGAGGGCACATATGATGTTCCGTCTGCATGGGAAGCTACAAAGTTGGAGAATCGATGTAACGGGAGAGTGGTTGGGTGTGCATATGGTATGCAATGCCTGCAAGAACATATGTTGTCATCTGTCCCCAGACTTTCGTAATTGTTTCGCAATCGATTCAATTGTTAGAAAAGATTATTGAAAACACAATTACACGAATGGATGAAATTTCTCCCGTGATTTGTGGAATGTGTAGATAGTATGTTGCCAATAGCTTGGCTTTCGCTGTCCTAAATCGACCATCTTACCGTCTTTGCATTATAATCTGTATGTATGTCAATTCAAAATCCGTTGGAGTGAAGCTTTGATGGTAGCCGTGGTGGAGAAATGCCTTGACTTTTGATCACGTGAATAAGAACTTTCTGGTCAGTGCCCATATTCGCGACTTCCAGTCCCAAGATGAACACCCTCGAATGGAAAGAAAGTACAGTCTGAATGAGCTACGCATGTTTTTGTAACATTCATAAATAAGAATTGCTATGAGCCATAAGTTCTATCTTTATATGTCGCTATAGATGTTCGTGAGTAGACGGTAAGTGACTCATTCACCGTGTTCATAACCACATTCATGACGATATCTACCTATCTAGACACAGGCATAGGCGGATACAATTTGTCCAATAACAGCTTACAAGGGTTTATATCGATCATTTTATTCATGTTCTTCATTATACCATCGTGCGACTATTTGCATCAAATGCCTAGGGCATCTCTTCTAGACCTGCTCTCGGGGTCTAAAAATGGCTTTTCTCCAATGCCAACAGCTCTGACACCATACCTTTCACCCTGTCCTTCAAGATCGTCTGTGGCCGTATGGAAAACCGAGCGGTTATCCCAAATTGCTACATTTACAATATTAGTACAAACGACCAGCGGGGTACTGCAAAAAAACAACTTACCAAGATCATTCTGGTTCTTCCACTTGAATCGCACCTGCAAATCATGATTGTCCACCAACAATCGCTTAAACCAACCCAAGAGTGCTTCGCTTTCTAATTGGGTAACATCATTGATATGACTAACATGACCTCCAACTGGAAAAACAGATTTCCATCCAGTGACTGGGTTAGTTCTCACTACTGGATGTACAGCTTTCAACTCCTTTCCCACATTTTCTGGAGCCCCTCTTGGCTTATCGTACAATTCGAATCCACCCTTTTGAGCAGCTTCAATGAAGCCAGGTTGTTGGAATGTTACAGTCAGACCCTCGAGGAACTTTTGGTAGGGTTTTGAAATTCGATCATAGATTTCATATCCACTTGCCCACAATGTGTCGCCTCCTGTTTTTGGGAGTATCTCTAATTTCAAACTAGAATAATCGGCAGGCTTCGGCTCGAAAGAAATATCTGCATGCCATTTGGAAGTATTTTGGAGGCCATTTGCTCGGTCGAATTTTGTGTCGCTGTAAAGTTTCTTGTTGAGCACCGAATCAATGGTACTAATCTCTGGGTCTGTCACACGGTATCCTTCTCTCTCTGGATTGAGAAGTGGATGAATGTGAAGACCTGAAGTGGATGGCTTTCCTGCTAGGAGACCAATGCGTTGCACGAGTTGCTTTTGCAAATCGGCAGTGAGGTTGTCTTGTTTGCGGAAGAATACCACGCCACGCTGGGATACTGAGTCATTGTTAGCATCCATAGACTTGCGATAATGTTATGTTTCATTGGGACTTACTAGTAAGAGCAAGCTCACGTAAGAGCTCATCGGCATTTGAAGCTTGAAGCCAGTCTACCAAATCGACATCTGGAAACTCGCGGCCGATAACAGGAGTAACATCAAAGGACTCAAACTGATCTAGAACGCCAGTGCTATTCACCCATTTTTCTTGACTGGTGGAATCTGTCTTGATCTTGTTGTTGTCGTTGCCTTTGTTAAGGCTAACGACTGGAGCTGATTGGGCTTCTGTTGCAGCGGGAGCCATGATATAACGTTTGAAGATTTTGTGTTGTTACTTGGATCTGGATGAACAGGATGAAGGATTAATGTTGAGGTTCTCAAACAAAGAGAGCTAGAAATCATGATGCTTTTACAGAAGGGGTTTCTTCAGTCTATGTAGTGTTCTTTCGGATATGCAAAGGCCATTTCCATTTCGACTTGATATACAGATGATACAGTTCTCTACTGTCCGGAAGAACGGCAAGTATGGCGAGATACAGATGATGTATGACGAAATATAGCAATCGTACGTCGGTGGTGTGCTTTCAAACCTAAACTGGAGTGCAATGTAAGCATATCGGATGTCTACATGCGTGAATCGAAATGTACCGTGATGCCAAAATGATATGATACAGAGCGTGGGTTACTAGATAAGAACGCGGGGAAATATTACTGAATGTTTGGATGTAAACCCCGCTATGGGTTTTGCGTGGTTGATGCTGTGACGGGGGGTCTAAATCGCGTCATATTCGAGACGAATATTATTGGATACTTGGCATGAGATATTGCATCAATCACGATTCACACCTTAACTAAAAAATTTAGGAACATATCTCTTTGAAGTCAGTGCTTATCAATCACAAATTTGCACGACTTTGTATCATCGTCGTCTAAGTATTATTCCGTGCTCGCTAACCCTCCTCTTCGCTTACACAAAGGAGCTACAGTACTCGTAGGAGGGGAACACCAGTAGATGCATGGATTGACGGAACACTTCCCAATTTTCAATATCTTTCATAAATTTATTCTTCCATTGTTTGATATCAGAATTCACATTGTGATTGTTTCATCTCTAATCAAGAATAATGACAATTCCTAAAATAATTGATTTGACATATCAAAAGATCAAAAGATAGTCAAAAGTTTATTTTTGCAGTGTTCCGTCAATCCGTATACCCACTGGTGTAAAGAACGCCGGAGTTCGACCAATTCATAATGCGTCCAATCATTTGATCATTTCCTCCACATCTGTTTAATCTGTAGATTTGTATCCAATCAGTTAGAATATTCTGTTAAAGATTGAAATAATCAAATTCGGCTTCCCGTACGAACAGGCGAGGTCAACTGCTGACTTCTGAACCTCCAGAACAGTTGCTACTGGTATCATTATCCAACCAGGAGAAACAAATGTAATCGAGATACTTCAGAGACAAAAGTGACAAATTGAAAGGTAAAGCTTCGAAGTTCACGCGCGAAGTGACGAAAGGGGTGAACGAGCCTGCCTTACAAAACTGGACGTTTAAAACTTTCATCACGTGAATGAAGGTGGGAGTAATGACTGACTTTAGGAAACATATCTCATTCCATTTGCATCTCATTATTCTATAGAGATGCGCGTGTAGACGTGTACGAGTACGCATCAAATCCAAAACTCCTGTTCTCCCACCTACTGATCCGTTTTTTGAGGGGGATATCTAAACGCCATGCCAATTCAACCATAAAAGCAAAACAAAGCTATGCACTGCCCATCCATTGCCACACCATTTTATACAAAAATGTCATTATACCTTATAGTAAGAGAAAAGTCTCATGGCTTTGCATGCAGGCTTCAAACAAGCCTATTCATGAGTTCAATCGGTTGACAATTCAAGCAACATTCCCAGCCATGCCCATAAATATTGCCTGAATTGCCATAGAAATGGACCAAAATCCCACCTTTTTCAACCGACGCAGGCGGGCCTGGCTGTCTACCACATCTTTCGCAAATGCTTCATAAGTCTCTGCAGACATATCATCCATTAATCCACTATCGAAGATGGTCCAGCTACCATCGAAATCACTAGCTCGTTTCACGATTCGACAATTTATGGGTATAAACGTTTTCTTCGCGTTGATATAGGCGACGATTGGTCGAATCAGGGCCTGATTAACGTAAGACAAGTCGCGAGTGAAGAGTGGCACAGCTGCCTTCACGTCATTAAGATGAATGCGAAGATCCATGACAATGTAGCGTTTATTGTCATCGTGAGAGAGTTTCTCGGCCGAAGCATCGGGCTCAGCGGGTGTGTCTGGTTCTTCTTTCGGTGGATTGTTTTCGAGGATGTGGAAATAGCGATTGGATGTTACAGCTTCTTCCATGCGGTCGTAAAAGTCAGACATCACCTTAGCGATGCTGTCATCAGCTTCAGTTGGAAGCATGACATCAGAAACAATGTCAACATTTCCTTCATGAATCCAGCCAAACGGCCCTTCCACTCCTCGATTCAAATGATCGATTTTGAGACCATCTATGCGGAGACGACTTTGCTTTTTCCAAAGGCTTGACCCGTCATTTCCAGAAGAGTCAAGAGCGTGCGAGCCAGCGAATCCGTGGATCTGTCGAGGATGAATTGTGAAGAGAGATCCGTCAAAGGCACCAGACATGTTGCTCGCCGAAAGGAAATCATAAAATAGCCATTGTTTTCGTAACTGGGGCAAATCGCATGAGAAGATGCTGACAGAAAAGGGTCGGAAGCCATTGGGCTGATGCACGGTTACCAAGAGATCCTCCAATTTGAAAGAATCTATCTCGAAATCGCCGGGGTTATGCTCATGTCGGAACGATTTAGGGTCGATGTATTCATCACCCCAATGAACCGAAGTTCTGTCTATTACCCCTCGGACACCCTTGATTTCTACGTCCCGAAGAAGTCCTTTGCCATTCCACCATTTAACAAATGATAAAGTGACATTGACTGTATCAAGAGTGACGTCAAACTGGGTGTAGTTTGTATCCTCCTCTTCCTCCTTTTTACCCTCTGTATCCACTTGCCGTTGAGAGGCAGCCGCAGCCGCAGCACTCAAAGATGAGCCCTTGCTAAACTTGGTCTTCCCTTGTCCTGGTCTCCTTGAGACAAACACATTCCGGAACGTAATTACTCCATCTTTCCATCGCGGCACGATGGCAGATTCGAAAACGACCTTGATACCTGCCGAATGCGTAAGGTAGTCACCCACCCATCTTGCTAATGTTTCTAAGCTAGAGTCAGTCATTGTAGAGTTCTTATGTTTTTATGGCTCTTACCTTGAGCGACAACAGTGTTGATAGATAGGATAACAAGAGAAAAGAAAGTTGTGGTTCCGATGAAGATCCAGGCAATGTTTCCTAAGACAAACCATGAGACAAAAGCACTCCAATCATCAACATTCCATGGTCGCCCGCCTCTAATCGTAAACCACTTGAACCGGACCTTCAATCGAGACCAAAATCCCGTTGCTGCGGCGAGTAGTTCCTCTCTCGTCGGCCGATGGGGCATCTTTGGCATGTGAGGAAGATGGTACTTGCTCGAGGTAGGGTGTGGGATAGTAGCATCCGTGACCGATTCCTTTACTGGCGGGGTAATCTGTGAGGGGTTGTGGGTCTCTTGGGGTGTCTTCCGAGCATTTTGTAAATTTGATGCAGAGCTTTTATTTCTTCTCGCATAACCTCTTGCCCTTCGCCGACTACTTGAATGGATCTCACGTCGCCATTCTTGTTGAAGAAACGTTGTCAAAGGCCGTCTCGGCAATGATGATGCTGAATATAAAGTCTTCTCCACTGTGGTTGTACATGATGCTATCGAGGGTGTTGCGCAGGTACCTGAGCTCAAATCAAGGAAGAAGACCCCACCATAGGCAAAACTCCTTCGAACTTGAGTCTTGGGAGAAGAGCTGTAGAAGGACCTGATCTTGGATTGCGAAAATGCGCGACGAGTAGTATTTAGTAGAATCGAATTAGAGATGAAAGGCCGTATAGATCCTTTGCATGTCTTTGTTGCAGCGAGTGAACTTGCTTGATCCCATAATTGGGACCATAACCTAGGTTTTATGTTTGTCGACATAACCTCCAGCTCATCCTGAAAGATTGGAACAAGACTGTTGAAGTCGTAAAATCCTTCTTCAACACTCGAATCTTGGAACAGAAACTGAAAAATGAAGGCACGCGAAAGAATGAATGACGATGGGCTTTTCCGGATGCGCCTTTTGGAATTTTTGACACTAATTAAGACGCTAGTGATCTTATCAGTGAATTCTCTATCGCATCCCTATCCCCACTAAATATTTTTTTCCAATTTGATCGACTGACTAGAAACATTAAAATCGACATTCAAAAAAGAAGGCTTATATTCCAACTGCATAACGATTATCTTCACGAAGATACTGTTCAACTCCATCATACGCAATCCGAAAAGAGAAAATGCCTGCACCAACAGCTTTGTTGAGGAGACCGGAAGAGCTTGCTGAAGCTACTAATGTGCCAGCACCCGATCAAAGTAATTAATCTTATGACGCTGTCACTATGCGCATTGTTGGAATAGTAGCTAATGTCGTTCCAGATCAAGATGATGAGTTTTTATTAGATGCACCAGAAGTTACTTCTGCAGAATTAGATACTATTCTCCCTCCAGCCACCGACAATAGCGAGATGCACATTGATGAAGAAGGACGACCTCGATTTGCACCAGCCAAGAATATTGTACGGCTCTCAATCTATGCAATTGCCAAAAAGCGCATGCGATTCTAACAAAAACAACAGGATCCAGCAACCCGAGTCGAAACTCGAAAAGTTCCAATTCCTCCACACCGAATGACACCTCTCAAAGCCGCCTGGCCTAAGATCTACCCTCCTCTCGTCGAGCATCTTAAGCTCCAAGTCCGCATGAACATCAAAAATAAAGCCGTTGAACTCCGTACTTCCAAACATACTACCGATACTGGATCTTTACAAAAGGGTGAAGATTTCGTCAAGGCCTTTTCGTTGGGATTCGATGTTGATGATGCTATCGCGTTATTACGACTCGACGACCTTTACATTCAAACTTTTGAGATCAAGGATGTAAAGACACTGCAAGGTGAGCATTTGGGAAGAGCCATTGGCCGTATCGCAGGCAAGGATGGAAAGACCAAATTTGCAATCGAGAATGCGAGTCGCACAAGAGTGGTTCTTGCAGATAGCAAAATCCACATTCTGGGAGGCTTCAAGAATATCCACATTGCGAGAGAGGCAATTGTTAGTTTGATTTTGGGTAGCCCACCTGGAAAGGTTTATGGCAATTTAAGAACTGTTGCTAGCAGAATGAAGGAGAGATTTTAAAAGCTAGAATGCATTGGCTAGACTTACGACATGGAAATTCATTTACTAGGCGTTGCGGTGGTGTTCGGGGAAGGGAAT